AATTAAATGGTGAATAGACATTTGTGACTGTGGTAATGAAATCTTGTAGGTGGTTATATTTGAAACAGGTCTTATATTTTGCCTGAAAAAAAGAAAAATTAAATTTTTGGCTTAGTATTTTGAAATGATGGCAATGACTTCACATTCTGGACTTGTCAGATAAAAGAAAAAAAAACAAAATGATTTAGGTGCATTCCTAAAACATATAGTAAGAAGCTTATTTATGAATCCTCCAATTTTATAGCTATAAAATAATCAAAAATCATGAATTCTGTTTTTCCTTGATCTAGTTTGTTTCAGATTATGTTTCTGCCCATCCTAGACTGTTTGAATAGAATATCAGGAAACTGAAAAAAAACACTGATCAAATGTAATAAGTGTGGTTTTACAAACCTAAAAAACAGTATAATAGAAGAAATATGATTATTATTAAGGAGAATTTGTAATCTAATTGATGCAAATTATTCTCCAGAGACCATTAGATTATCTGTAGGATACAAGATTTTAAAATTAATTTTGTGGTGAAAAATCACAAAAAAGTTTAATCAGTGTAACCACATGCCAAAATTGATTTTTAATCACTTTTATCAGGTGGGTAAGGGTCTTGGGAATAATAGATGCAAATTCAGGATAAAAAAATAACACATTCAGAATAAAAAGTAATAAGAGCAATGAATTTCTGAAAAATTGTTATAATTATGATTTAAAGGGTATTCATACATCAATTAGGATTTGGAGAAGATGACTTTTCTTATAAATTGTATTACTGTATAATATGGTATGTTCAGTTTGTCCTTTTGTGTTGAGAGACAGAAAAAGAAAGGGAGATAGAGAGGACTGACAGAGAGTCACATACAAAGAGGAAGAGAGCTGGGTATTAGTGATGTTCTGTGAGCAACATGAGATAATCTGGAAATAAGAACAAAGCAAGAAAATATAGTATATATAATTGCTTTGAATAACCCATGCCCTGGCTAGAGAGTAAAACAAAATGTAGTCCTTTTGTTGCAGTTTGGGGTTTATTTATTTCCTTCGTGTGCAGATTTCATCTTTTCTGACAAGAGGAAGAGCAACATACTCCATGTGGAATGGGTACACCAGTTATTGCTTCTACAAGGAGTCTAGAGTGTATATCCTGAGGGTTCTAAGATCTCAGTTCCTTAGGGAAATGTGCTATGCTTCCTTGTTCCTGACAATAATAGTTATTAGTGGCTCACATTTTTATTAAGCTCTTACTATGCATTAGAAATTTCCTTGGTCATTGAAGTTGCCTAGCTCAAACTTTTGGGAACCAGAAGGCTGGTACTTTTCTGAAAAAACTGTTGATTTCCTTCTATATGGTATTGGCAACAGTGAACTGGGAAAATAGACACAAAATAATTCTCTATTAAATAATATAAACAAATTAATAAATGTTTCTTGTTTTAAATTGGGACTAGGCTACTGACAAAATGGTATAACTCATTAGAGAATTGGGGCATTTATTAATTATATAACCAATCTAAGCACTCTGAGAAATAAGCTAACATGAGCTTTAATCAAAAAATGGCCAAGGGCAAATAGATCATTTTTTAAACAAAGTAAATGTGACCCTCAGTCTTCCCCTGTCCACTCTACCTGCAGAGATATAAGCACAGAGGAACAAAAGAGCCAGGTTTATACAGAGCTAATCACTCAAATCATTCTATTGATATAAATAAAACACACTCTCCTGAGGAAAATGGAATCACAGTTGAATGTCACAGTTGCAGACAGCTAAGTATACAAATGTTAGAGTTAAAATGTATTTTATTGAAGAATTCACTATTAAAATGAGGAAATAACAAAAACTTCAGTAGGAAATCTGAACAAAAATATGAAAGAAAATGTCAAGTTTCTTTTTATGTATTTCTAAACAAAAGAAGTTGCAAGGAAAGAAGTCATAGGGCGTAATTTCATTGTTGAATTCTAGCTGGGCATCTAAACGTATCATCATCTTTAAAAATGGAGACAGAAAGCTTAGCTGAAACGTAAGTAATTTTCTTATAATTCAAATACAAGAGCACAACAGCCCAAGGGCATCTGATTTGAGCTGTAGTTTATAAACAGTAGTATTTCAATTCTGAGGTTTAAGCCAATTTCCAAAATTATTTGGAAAACCAAGTCTCTAATTTCTAATTAAGAGATCTGAAACAGGATGATTAGAAGAATACTTCATTATGGCAAGAAGTTGTGACATACTGTGATAGTATTATGCAATTTCCTAGGAGAGGTAAATTAAACATTTAAATATGTGACTTTGTATTTTGTTAGCAACCACCTAATAAATTTAATTAAATATTTCAGGTTTATAAACTCAAGAAATATACTTTGTTGCATGTGGGTTGAGCAAAATAAATATACGTATATTTAGTTTTTGCTAATTAGATGGTGAATCTTACACAAAAGATTCCAAACTAGCAGTTCAAAGCTGGAGTAATCAGCATTTTAATAAGCCCTTGAGTAATTCTGAAGAAGTTGTCCCTAGACCACATTTAAAGAATCATTATTTTGGGGCTCCTGGGTGGCTCAGTTGGTTAGGCACCCAACTCTTGGTTTCAGCTCAGGTCATGATCTCGCAGTCATGACCTCGCAGTCATGAGACAGAGCCCCAAGTTGGACTCCTCTCTCAGTGTGGAGTCTAGTTCAGATTCTTTCTCCCTCTGCCCCTCCTTGCTCCTGCATTCTCTCCCTCTGTCTCAAAAATAAATAAATAAATAAGTAAAATATTTAAAGAATCATTATTTTATAGATTTAAAGTTTTTAGACTAAAGTTGTTTTTATTTTAACTTTATAAATGCAGAAGCATTATTTTCTCTTGCAATATTTCCAATGCACACTCATCATATAATGGTCAGCATTTCACTTTAGATTTATTAATTATTCATTTTCCATTCATTCATTCAATAAATATATTTTGAGAATCTACTATAGTAGGTTCCAGGAACAATGATGTGCACTGAACATTTTGTGATGAGCAAGAGGCGGGTAGTTATTCTTGCACTTGCAAAGAGTAAACGATGACTTAAGACTAGTAATATAGGGGAACCCGACTGGCTCAGTTGCAAGAGCATGCGACTCAATCTCAGGGTTGTGAGTTTGAGCCCCACATTGGGTGTAGAATACTTAAAACTAAATAAATTTATTTTTTAAAAAAGAACAGTAAGACAACAAAGATTAAAATATAATAAAAATAATATCATTCCATATCTCCATTAGAAATCTATAATATTTACTTACAACAAGATTTCAAAATTAAAACCAAAATTACCTAAAGTAGCATCAAAATATCTAGTGCCTCTGAATAAATCTAAGAAAATATATGCAAGATATCTATGCAGAAAATAATGCAACTCTTTTGACAGATATTCCAGAAAACCCAAATACATGGAGATAAACATACTGTTTATGATTTGGAAAACTCAAGATGTCAATTTATATTAAATGGAAATACAGATATATTGCATACCCAGTAACACATCTCCTTAGAATGTTTGGAAAGTGGATGAAGAAATCTAACATGCTGATTTTAAAATTAATGAAGGGATACAAAGTTTTGAGTCTGGCCCAAATACTCTGAAGAAGAATAACAAAATGGTAAGAATGCTCTACCAAATGGTAAGATTTATCATACAGTATAACTGTTAAATAGGACTATACTACAGCAAGATTAGACAAAACTGAGAGTTGCAAGCATGTGACCTACAGGCCAATCATCACTTTTTGTAAATAAAGTTTCATTAGAATATAGCTATTCTATGCTACACCAATTTGTCACCACAGAATGTATGGCCCAATGCCTAAAATGTTTTCTATCTGGTCTTTTAAGAGACAGTTTGCCAATCCCTGAGCAAGAACAGTGAAGCAAACTAGAAAACCCAGAATTATGCACATGTGTATATTTGTATATGACAAAGATATAATTGAAGAGCAGTTGAAAATATGGAGAAAATGACCAAACTTCATGCCCTAAACACACACACACACACACACACAGCTCTATATGTAAATGAAAAGGCATGTAAATTTGATTACATTGAAGTCATCAACTTCAGAAACACCATTAAGAAAAGGAAGCCATGTGGTAGAAGATATTTGCCACACATGTAACTGGCAAAGGGATTATATTCATAATAGTTTTAGAATTGAAATATATTAGTAAGAAAAGTCAGATAACCTAATATAAATGTTTGCAGCAAAGAAAAAATGAAAGAGAAAAGGGAAGGAGAGAGAGAGAGGGAGATTTCTTAAAAGGCAACTCTAAAAATTCTTCAGAAAAGAGGATACATAAATAGCCAAATATTTTAAGCAGGTGGTGAATCTAACTAGTAATGAAATGAATGGCAAAGCCACGAATATATACACACTACAAATCTAAAAGAATAAAATTAAAAAATACAAAGCCTAATAATACCATGTTGGGAAGAATTTGGAGCAATTAGAGCTTATGCTGGCAGTGAAAATATAAAAAGCCCGTAAAAGTTATACTTTTATTTTTAAAGCTGAAAATAATAAGAACAGCAAAATCAAACAACAGGTGTTACTTTATATAGCTGAGAATTCATATACTCTTCAATTAGGGAGTTTTACCATAAACATTTATTCTGTGGTAATAGTTCATAATATCATTATTCATGACAAATAAAATGAAAGCAACTCAAAATGAGATCAAGAATAAAATGAACAAATAATGATACATTTATACAAGGGAATATACCAGAGCAACCAAAAATTATAAACTATAGAGTAACTTAGATGAATTTTTAAATATTATACTGAATGGACGAAGACAGAAACATAAATACTGAATGATTTCATTTCTATAAATTTTGAAAACAGGTGAAACTACAGTATAGAGTAGTTACATTGTTGTTGCTTTTGCAAATTTGTTTTTCTGTACATCTGGATGTTTTTACACATTCTCTTGTGATATATTTTATGATTTAAAATGTTTAGAAATTAAAATCTTCAGTAGAAAAATGGTAAAATGTATCACAGGCAATTCCTGGAAGGGGAAATCTGAATGACTATTAAACATATGAAAGAACACTCAACATCAGTAATGATCAAAAAAATTCAAGTTAGAACTAGACATAGTTTTCACATCTGTCAGTTCTGCAAGATTTAAAGTCTGATAACTTATTTCTTTTACCAGTGTTGAATATAATGTTAAAAATATAACTCATTTAAATTGCTATTGGGAGTGTAAATTGTTAAAATCACCTTGAAGAGAAATTTGACTCTAATCCATTAAAGTTTTGACAATGTGCATACTTGGGAATCCAATAATTCTGCATTCGGAAATCTACACTGAGAAAAACTTTTCCATGTGACAGACAAGGGGACAATTTTATGAATGTTCACTGAAGGCCTCTTAACATTGTAAGTATACTGATAATGCAACCATCTTTCAGTAGAAGTATGAAAAAATAGATACATATTTATTTATTCAGCAAAATAATGTATTTAAGCCAAAATCAATAAACAAACACCATGTATATTGGTATAAATAAATTTCAAAAACCTAATGTGGAATAAAAATGATTTGTAAACTATTTCAAGTATAGTAGGCAAATTCACCCTTTTTAAGAGCATGGAAGGGAGATTAAATGCATAGCTACAGATAATTAGTTCCTTTATTTTCTCAACATGTCAAGAGAGGTGAGTTCAACTCAAAATGAGAAAGGGAAGATAGTACTAGAGATTTGTGTATTAGAAGAATAGGTATGAAATCATCTTCTTGAAAAGCAGAAGAGTGAAATCCTTGGGGAAATTAGTACTTTCACCACTGGTGCTGAGGTCCCATCTGAGGTTTATGGTACAATTAAATGGAACCCAGTTAGCAGGGACCTATGGTTTTCACTAGCCATGTTCAGCTACTGATGTGAAGATGCAGAAAAGGTAAAATTTGTTCATCACTGGGGTTTAGAATTTTCCAGGCTAGGTGCTGGAGTAGGGAGTGAGGTACAAGAGAGTAAAGAGTTTATGAACTGCATGGTTCTGGTGGGGAGGCATGAAATCTAAGCTGGAAAACAAGAAAAAGAAAACAGGAGGAGTTGACAAATGGAATAACTGGATTGGTTTCTGGGACCGAAAAATGTGTGCAGTGCTTGCACTCATGTAAAGGAGCAGAGGAAATAGTAAATTTGGTGAAAGAATTGAATGTATGAAGTTAGGATTTCAGAGATGATTGTAGTAATTGGTAACAAAAATATCTACCACAGGAGAGATAAGTAAAGTGGAATTCAGAAGTAGGTTGGGAAGTATAGATGCCAAAGACCTAGGAGGCCAGGGAATTGAATCAATCATTAATATAAATTTAGACCATGTCAAGAATAATGACAAAAATGGTGATGTAAGAGAAAATGGTAAACTAGGTGACAGAATGAGAATTCAAGAATGAAGAGGTGTGATGGGGTGTCTGCATGGTTCAGTGGATTAAGCATCCAACTTTTGATTTCAGCTCAGATCATGATCTCAGGGTCCTGAAATTGGGCCCTGTGTTGGGGTTGGGCTCCGTGCTCAGTGTGGAGTCTGCTTGTTGCTCTCCCTCTTCTCCTCCTCCTCCTCTCTTTCTCTCAAATAGATAAATAAAGTCTTTTAAAAAAAGAATGAAGAGGAGTGAGAAATATTAGTAGATGCCAACATCAAGACAGGAAATAGTAAAGACTAATGGCATAACTTGAAAGAATTCTTGGTTTTTGAGATATAACAAATGGTCTGTATATTCAAATGAGATACAAGGAGATATACCATCTTCAGGCCTTGTAATACATGGAGTATAAAGCTTACATTTTTGAAGGCTGCATTGGCTGTCACATCTTCAGCAAAATAAGGTGATAACAAGGGAGTTCAAAGAAGGGTTTGAAACTGGGTGGGAGATGGGGACTGCAGTTGACAAAAGGTGTTACAAGGGGAACAGAGGTAAGGTTTGGAAGTAGGAGAATGAGGAAAATTGGGTCACTAGGGAATTTACAGAGCCATAGGGGATGAGATTCAGTGGTGAGAGATTTATTGGACGTTTAGACTTGCTAGCAACAGGAGGTAAACAGAGTTCATGATGAGATATTCTTGAATTTTCCACAGGAAAGATAAATCATCAGTTGAAATAGAGCTTCTCTCACATGTTTTTTTTAATTAATATTAGTGTTATATAAAAATTTGAGATATGAAAATATGTAATATACTTATAAAATAAAGTTGGAATTGGAATACTTTTTATGTTCCTTAAAATAATTTAATATTTGTAAGAAATAGAATCAAATTACAAAATGCCAGTCTTCTTCTGTTTTATGTTTAAACACTTAAATTTATAGAATTAATTTTTTTATTTTGTTTCATTTTACTCACTTTTACTTTTGCTACGAAATCTAAAGTAACTTTTATTTTATTTTATTATTGATTTATTTTTATTATGATAAGAATATGTAACACAAGATCTACCCTCTTAACAAACTTTTTAGGTACAATATAGTATTGTTAACTATGAACACAAAGTTGTACAGCAGATCTCTAAACCGTATTCATTGTGCATAACTGAAACTCATATAAATAGAATTTTGCAGTATGACTGGCTTATTGCACTCAGCATAATGTCTTTCAGGTTCATCCAGATTGTTGCATATGACATTTTTCCTTCTAAAATTTAAAATTTAAGATTAAAATTTAAAGTTTAAGATTACTTGATAATGCCTTAAGAGACTTTCGATTTCCCCAAGGCAACATGATAATTTTCAAAGGCCATTTATCTTAAAGTCAGACTGAGATTGTACTCCATGTTCTTCCATTTAATGATAAAATCTTTTCAAAATTACTAAATCTGTTTTTTCATTAATAAAATGAGACCATATAAGTATTAGAATTAAATGAGTCATGTAGAATCCCTGGTCCCACCTGGTGCTCAAAATTTTAGTCCATTTGAAGTTCCTGGAAGTTAAACAGGTGGTACCTAATTAGGGTAGTATAAAGAAAATCATTTAAGCTTATTTAATGTGAGAACCAGGCTTATACCATTGAATACAATCTCCACTTAATTCAGAAAAAAAAAATATATCTATGTATTCATTCAGAAATCACATTATACTTTTTCAGTTTCTACTTAATAAAGTATTAACTGTCTCAGCTAAAGAAAAGATTAAAGGAAATTTTAAATAATAAGTAGGACAAAATGCTATTCTCTTAGCAATAAGTAAGGAATTCCTCTTAGTGAAAAAAGATGCTATCCACTTCAATGGAAAAATTCCCAAGTAGGCATGATTGAGTTAGCAGCTGGCCTCTAAATGGTTTTACCTGATTTAGATGACATAGGAGCCTAGGGGAGGGAGAAGTGTTACTAATTTTTGAGGAGTCAGAAGGAGGAGGGAGGATATTGAGACTGCATTGTACTTCAAAAGCTTGGGCTTAGTAAAATGTTACCATTCTTTTCACCCTTAAACTCTTGAAGAAAGTTACAAACTCATAAAACTTTGCTGTAAAAAGACATTTTGTGAGTACAGTAGGGAAAAGGTGAGTGTATGGAGCATATGACAGGCTAGGATCAGATAATAAACTCATAAAACTTTGCTGTAAAAAGACATTTTGTGAGTAAAGTAGGGAAAAGGTGAGTGTATGGAGCATATGACAGAAAAGAATCAGTACTTCTTTTTTCTAGATTAGACACAAGGGTCAGAAGAATAGAAGGGACACTCTAAATTTTAAGTAAGTTTACCCAAACCTCAGACGGCCAGAGGCTCCATCTGATAATGGGATGGTGGGAGTACACTAAATCCTTTTTCTGTTTCTAAACAGAGAGCTCTTTGCATGATTGCACTACACTTTCTTCTACTCAAATGTCCTTTTGAGGACTCTTATAGTTGTTATTTTTTACTTCCGTTAGTAATTGTAAACATTGAATTTCCTGTAGGCATATTTTCTCTACTGTATCAGAAGCTGACCTGTATAACCTGTCTCTGGGGAATCACTAAAGCTTGTAATTCCTTTCAATGTGTTCCTCATAATAAGACAATGTCTAGCCACCTCTCCTGATCCACTTGCACAGATCACTTGTCTCTGGGAGTAGCTATTTATTATTATTTTTTTTAATTCACAAAAGCATCTTATAAGTTTCTTCTTATAAAGTACATAAATGATAAACTTAAAGGCTACATTTTGACTAACTTTGTTGGACACTAGGGAGCTAATAGGAATTAACATATGTATGTCATGTTTTACCACCAAAAATTTTTATTCATTTATTTTATCTTGTTTTATTTTTGCAATACTCCTGTTAATTAGTTAGAGCTGTATTTTTATACTCATTTTGCAGGTGAGAAGACAGAGCTTCAAGATGCAATGGGCCTGCTCAAGATCGCAGAGCTACTGAGACTGCAGAACTCCACAAATTCTCAAGTGTACTGTTCCCAAAGCCAGAGATCTCTAGACAGTACAGTGAGCTCTCTCTCTGTACACCAATTACCAATATGTAAAGTTCTGTGGTCATTTCTCTTCACTGGCCAGGCTTAATTAATCTCTTACTTTTTACTTTTCTTTTTTCAAGAAATAGAGAAATAATGCCTAAGTGAAATGATGTTTATTGTTTCTTATGTACAGTCTATCAGTGACTTTTTAAAAGCAATTTTATGTTTCAAATGATTTGATTATCTGATCCTAGCCTGAATATTTGAGTAAGACAAGATGAAGATATAAACAAACGACAGCTTCTAAAATAAACTCTAAAATGTGAGTATTTGATTTTTGGTTATTTTGAACAGGAATAAATGTACAAAGGAAAATCTGTTCATGAACCAAATAGTGCTTGATTTATGAACAAAAATTCCTAAGTAAAAGAAAACAGAATATAACTCTAGGAACCAGGAGTTCAAAAGGAATAGCATAGTTTAATCTTCATTTGGTCAAACATAGTATTTATTCATATTTCTATTAGTCTACAGAAAATCAATGTTGTAAACTTTGTTAAGAATACACTGTAATATTTTACTTGTGTTAAGAACAAGTTTTTTGGAGTAAGTCTAGTAAGATATAAACCATCCCAGGGCACCTGGATATCTCAGTCAATCATCTGACTCTTGATTTTGGCTCAGGTCATGATCTCAGGGTCATGGGATTGACTCCTGCATCAGGCTCTGCACTCAGTGAGGACTCTTCTTGAGATTCTCTCCCTACCCCAATCTCATTCTCTCTCTTTCTAAAATAAATAAGCAAAAATCTTAATTAAAAAAAAAAAGATGTAAACCATTTCTGAACTCCTAATTGCAAAACTTTGGATATAAGACATTAATATTTCTAATTATTCTTATTTTAGACTGAAGACAATAATACTATCTACCTTTTAATGTCATCATGAATCATGAATGAGTCAATGGATGTACAGTGCTGAACACAATGGATGCAACATGGCTTATGCTAAATAAATAATACTCCTTCACCTCCTCCATCTCTCCTTCATTTTCCTTCTTTCAAAAAAATAATTTCATTGAACTTCCTTTCCCCTTGTGTTTAGGACCATTATTTGAAAGGATGTCTTAGCTCTCAGTTCTTTGTCTAAATAACTTTTAGAAAATAATCTGAGAAGGAAAATATAACTTATCATCTCAATGTCTGTCCATCGTATGACTTTTTTTTTAAATAGGCTTTATTTTTTAGAGCAGCTTCATTTTTT